CAAATATTGTTATACTTTTGGAATGGAGGTGTACAGAATTTAAGCCATATATTTATACATGATACAGCATTAGTCAAGCTGACAAAGTGACATCTATAACTATCACTTGCACTGTGGTGTAATGCCTGGAGTCTGTATGTGCAGTGTCTTGCTATGAAACTCTGCACAAACAGAATTTGACCTCTTTGCTAGTGGAGGTTTAACTCCACCTCACGTATTGTCATTGGGAATCATCAGCCAGTCCAGAACTAGAATTCCAGACTGGCTAATGTCAGCTCTGTGCACACTGTCAATCATTGGCTGAGAGCAGAAGAATGTCATTCATTGTTTGAGAGTGATTAGCTGATGCTATCAGTCAATGAATGACCGGCAGAATTGGCATCTGGTTTCTGCAGCTCTGGAGACTTGGCACGGACCAAGGTAAAAGGGTAGAACTTTGTAAAACCGTTTGTCCTATTACCGGGGAATGGCGCCAGGGTAATGGTCATGATGGTTGGAGAAACCATAATGATGTCTAGACTGTTAAGCTCTAACGCCACTTTAATAGGTGCAGTGGACGTACCGACTGTAGTGGGTGCAATGGGGAATGGGGCTGTGTTGGGTGTAGGTGGAGTAGGGGCCGTGTTTGGTGCAGGGGATAATAGGGGCTGTAGTGGGTGGAGGGGTAAATAGGGATTGTAGTGGGTGCAAGGGGGGAGGTTATAGGGCTTGTAGTGGGTGCAGGGGAAAAGGGCCTGCAGTGGGTGCAGGGGAAAAGGGCCTGCAGTGGGTTCAAGGTGGGTTGGAGCCGGAAAGGAAGCATGGGTTAAATGGGCTTTAGTGGATGTAGGATATAATAGGGGCTTTAGTGGGTTTAGAGGGATGTCAGATAGTTTCTGTGATGGGGGATGGAGCAGTAGTAAGGGGATAATTTAATACATTTAATAAGTTTAAAAAAAAAAAACATACATTATAAAAGTGTTTATTTCCCCCATCCCTGAGCCTTACCTTTGGCCAGTGAAGCCAAAGACCAAAATTCTCCCTACTCCCACTCGGCATCGGTGCAGCCTGGCCCGTAAGAGAGATCATTGATCTCTCTACCTGCCATGAAGAGGGGGCACAAAGCGGAGTACGGCCCAATCCTATCAGCCCCATGAGTCTGAGCCAACATGGCTGCTCAGCTAGATAAAAAATCAAAAATAATAAACATAATTTAAAAAATATCATTACATTACATTTCATTAAACTAATAAACGTATAACAAGTGAGACATTCAAATTTGATGACAGTTGTCCTTTAAGATTGCTATTGTCTCTGTTAAATAAATATGGACTTTCCTGTTCCCTTAATATAAGCTATTTTTAGTTGCATGATTGTTCAGCAAAATTTTATATTATCAACACACAGACTTTAAAATGTCATTATACTAAATATCACTTTTAAAATTAATTAAACCAGAAAATATTATGAGTGCAATGTGATACCAAATAAGCTATTAGTCGAGATGAAGTATAGCCTTGTTCCTTCATGGTGATTTATGTTGATCCTATTAGAAATCCAGTTACCAAGTCTCCAGACTCAGTAACAATTTGCACATATTACAAGACAACTACAACAAGAGTGTTACCTAATTGAACACTCCAAACACATTAAGCACTTTAGATTGTTGATAACTTTCATTTGGCAAAAAGTGCAGATTTCAATAGAGATTGGCACTTTTTTAAAATTACACTTGTCACACTCCCTTTGGCTTTTAATCAGACAGCAAGTCCTGTTTCTTCCTGGTTTGGTTACCTCAGTGGAGTCAAACTTAAGAGGCAGCAATTGCCCACAGCACCTACCTCGCAAAGACTTCCCATTGGGTTGCATTGGGAAGTCTGTGATTGGACAGCCACAGTACGTTATGGGTGGGGTTAGAAGGGGAGGGTTTGCAAAGGCAGCAGACAAGAGATCTGCAACTTTAGCAAGCTGATTTTAAGTATACCTCCAATGAGAAATATGCATTATTAGATGCACGCATGCTTTTTGGTGGTTTCTACTAAATAGTGGTCTTTTATTAATTTATTTATTTTGTACTTGGGCAGTGGAGTGTCTCTTTAACCCTTTAGTGGAAAAAAAACACCTTAATCCTGCTTCTGTATTAAGCCCCTAAGTTTTCTTCAGAATACATCCAACCATCGCTAATATTCATGATAGAAAGGAATGCAGTGGTGAGGATTTAAGAGACAATTGGTGTTTATTCCACATAAGCAATAATCTGAACAAAGGAGTAATAAGAGAAACTAAAGATTGCTAGATCTGGTGCAGTGCTGCCTCTGCCCACCAGCTGGATAGGCAATTCTGTACAAAAGTGACTCCGTTACAAAGGCAAACATATCAATGTATGATATTATTTGCAGAATGGGTCAGTATTGCAAAGGAGAACAATCTGTGTTCCTTTGTCAGTATTTATCCTGCCTGAACTGTCACACAATATTCCTTATTCTATTTCTGAATATTCCTGAGTATCAGAACAAGTGAGAATCTAGACGCTGGTGTATATACAGTAATTAGTAATTTAAATACACTAATTTGAAACAAATGAATCAAGTACAAATGTTAACAAGGCAAATTGTTTGACATATTTCAGAATAATTAAAAAAAAAGCTATATTTTAAAAATTGCAACACAAAAATGTAATGTATTTGCAGTACTTTAAAGGTTGTATCAAAGGAAATCCAGTTGTCTGAGTTTTAAATAAACTTTAAAACAGTGAAGTAACTGCAAAATTAAAAATCATCAAAACAAACAAAACAGAAACATAAAGTTATACATTAACGTTTCATTCATTAAAATGACACCCCACTGCCCAAATGGGCAAAAAAGTAGAAATCCCTATTAAGTAAATATACTCACAATGAATAGATGTGTGCAGTTCTTAAACTACAGCCTTTGCAAGCACTCCCCCTTTTCACTGGAAAAGGCCAACAGTCTCTTCATGGGGAAATAGCCTCAGTGAGAAGACTCGGAACCTCTACCTCTGTGCACACACATGATTGTGTACATACCTATAGTCTCATCTGAGGTCTGAGAAGGTGGTGTGCGAGGGGAAGGCAGGAGCACTCAAGTAGAGCTAATTGTAGCTAATAGACGCAGGAAGAAACGCCCCTGGCTGTTTGATAGTGGGGAGGGGTCAATAATTTATTATAAAAGTGCTGATTTCTCACATGAATCAGCATTTTTATAAAGTGCCTTTGAAATGGGATACTGCTCACCCATAAAGCACTTCAGCAAGATGTGGGGTGGTCCTTTAATTTTAAAGTTTTAGTTCAAAATAGCCGAATTTGAAAATGTCTCCAGCTAGGTTTTAAATTTGTACTATTTGGGCCTAAAACTTTCCATTCAGTTTGAATTCCTGACAAATCACACCGATATCTAACTGGCTTTTGTCTGTGGCATTAAAGTGCACGCTTCAAGCATTGGGAAATGTTTCTACAAGAAATGGTCTTTGAAGGCATATCAAATTCATTTTTGTGAAAAGAAACCAAACAAAAAAAGGCTGCAGTACAAGGCTATAGCATGAAACAAAAACATTGTCAAAAAGTATATATTCATAGACTGTCATTTCTAACAGTTTTGTGATTTATTCTTTAAACACTGCACTTCACTGGTTGTCATTTTTTAACTTGTATTTATCAGATACTGGCAGCTTTTTAGGTCTTTATTTGCTATTTCTGGTTTTAAGTTGCCCATATTTTCTGATCTTATTTTTTTCATGTTTATCGAGCATAACGTTTGCCAGACTCCACCATCTCCAGGATGGAGAGCGTTCTCCTATATATATTGAATAACCTTTTATTGTGATAAACATACATCTACACACGTCTTGTTGCATTTTGATGCAGGTTTGCTTGGACTTCAGAATTATGTCCAGATTCCTTTGTTTGTTTTTTGCAGTCTCTCTTTTTTTTTCAATTCTTTATTTTACTTGTGCATAGAGTAATAGATTTTTGCAGCGCCACAACAGTGGGTACAATAACAATATGTCAGTAGCAATTTATAACATTGCAGATAAGACAGCCCATTTTATAATTAGTGAAGGTAGTGGTCCAGTAGTTTGTAAGTGAATTATAGTGTTACAAGGTTACATCTGTATTCTGTGAACGTAGGTATGCAGGGAACATGAGGTGTAGTGCCCGATATGTTTAGAAACCAGTCCTTACAGAATAAGCTGTCCCATCTTAAGGTAGGTGTGTTATTCTCTGGTTGACATAGGTGGCCAGACCTGATGGGAATGGAAGATTGGGCTAGGGGATGTTAGTATGGCAGCTTAGTCGCGTTTCTTCTGGGGTTTTGGTGGACTGCTTGCTAGTCTAGCTCGCGGGGTTCAGGCCTAGGTGTGCTGTATGTGCCTTAGTTCCCTCGATTCGCAGGGCAGTATAGGGAGGAGGATAAGAAAATGTCAGTATCAGACGGTCCCGTGGTGGTAAGTGTGTGTAGTGGCTGAACAAGTAGTTGGACCTCTAAGGTCGTTCGTATAGTAGCGTCAGGAGCATGTGAATATATCAATGTGGAAGCGGTCAGCGCGTGTAACAAGAAAACATTAAACAAGAAAACATTAAGCAAGATTGCCTATGAGGCAATTCAAAATGCATTGACATACGTAATGGCATGAGGTGCAGTATTTTGAACAGTTGTGGTATCAGAAAACTAGAAACCTTATACAATCAAGGTCATATTCAAGTGACAGTGTCCCGTTCCCCTCTGGGAATGAAAGGAGGTATGTTGTCAACATCCCAGACTCCCTGGGGTAGTGTCGCCGGGTCTGGCACAGGAAGGCCTAGGGCTTGTAAGAATTGCGGGCCCTCGGAATGGTTGGTAGCTTTGAAGGATTCTCCCTCTGTGGTGCACAGCAGTGCCCCTGAGTTAGTCCATCTATAAGGAAGGCCAGCGGTTTGCAGGGTCTTCGTGATGGGGAGCATTGTTTTCCTCCACATAAGTGTGGCTTTACTTAGATCCTGATAGAATGTGAGTGAGTGAGTCTAGAATTGGAATGGGGTTTTCCCCCGCAGTGCCTGCAGTAATTGTTGTTTATCCGCAAAGGATCGACAGCAGAGTATAATGTCCCTAGGCTGGGTGTTTGGCATTTGCGAGGGTGTTGTGATGCAGTATAGTCCGTCATAGGTGAACTGTTTAGCGTGCTTGGTTGGGAGGATGGCTGCGGTGCGTTGCCTGATGAGGTGAGGTTGTTCTTCTGCTGGTACGGTGTCCTCTACTCCTCTTATCTTGATGTTATTTTGTCTGCTTTTGTCTTCCAGTGCATCCATTCTGGCTGCTATTTGGGAATGGGAGGTTTGTAGCTGCTTTATAGATTCCCCTTGGGTGGTCATGTTTTGCTTTATGTCAGCAGAGTCCTCCTCAGATACTCGAAGGCGTTCCATGATAGCTTGCATTTCTGCTTTAACCAGGTTGAGTTCTGCAAAGAACATGTCCTGGAAGTGTGCCAGGAGATCATGGATGTCCCGCTTTGTCACAGGTGGTTCAGTTTCGGGTGTAGCATAAGCTCCATTCCCAGGCACCTTTTCCACCACCGGGTCAGTTGTAGTCTCCTGCCGGGGGGGTGAAGGCTCCCGCATGTGGGGCATCAAGGTCAGCATCTGGCCGATATCGTGATTTGAAGCAGCAGCGGCCGGAGCCAGTTTTTGTGACTTGCGGCCCATCGAGGGTTCTGGTATGCCCCAAGGTATGTTGGCTGCTTGTTGGTCTGTGTCCCAGTAGTCTCCGTCCCAGGAGGTAATGCACGGCTGCTGCGAGAGTCCCACCCGGTAGGCCCAAGGCACTTTGCATCGTGTTTCGTGCTCAATGGACATAAAAAGGCATTCACAGGTCTGGTATGCGGACCCCAGTGCAAAGATCGCTATTACAGCTCTGGATTTTTGGTGATACGCCGATTATGGGTGATTTCTCGGGCGATGATCGAGGAGCTGGGTGAAATGGCGTCTGCTCCTGAATGCTGTTAGCTCCACCCCCTCCTTTGTTTGTTTTTTCAACTATTGTCTTTTGCAATGAAAAAACATTTGCTTAGATCAACTGTCAACAACGATTAACACTTATGCGATGTAATGTTAATGGAGTCATGGACAAACAGCTATTATCAGACCAAGTTAATGATGAAATGGCAGTTCTTGATAATGTAGAATGCTCTGAAAACATTATATAGCAACAGCAACCAACATGTACAAATGTAACAATACATGTGTTAGCAAAAAATTAGAAAAAAAATGCATGGAAAACTATGTAGTTTATAAAATATAGGACCTTTGAGGCTCAGTGAATATTTCCATTTTAAATTGGAAGTTGATATCCCGATAGTAAAGGTGATATGAGCGAAAAGTGAGAGAGTTGTTCCATAAGGGGAAAAGAAGATTGAGAGAGAATTCCAAAACATAGGAAGACTATTGTTTAAAAAAAAAAAATCAAGAACAATGAACAAAGCGGGGAGTATACAGACAGAGATATTAGTAAAGGATCTAAATTGAAATGCAAATATTGATTGGTAAGAATGAGAAATATTGCAACGGCACCCCACCGGTCTTCTAACTATCTATCCTAATTTTAAATGCTTAAATAAACTTTAGGATTTAGCTGTGTATTTATTTACTGAATTTTGGCAGGGTAATGTGCCAGATGCCCTGAGCTAATTTGCAAGAAATGAAACAGTAGACGTTCCAGAACAAAATAAATGCTCTCTGGGTAAGATCAAATATTTACAATATTATCTTCTCTCTTTGTATTCAATGGAACCAGAACGCTTATTTTCCTTCAAGATAAGTTGACTTGGCCCTTTCTTTTAATAGGCCATTTAAACAGCAAAGTTGATTCTTTTATTTATTAGGCATTTCACTTAAGTAGGCCAAGTTGGTTATTTAATTTAATTAAATGATTCAGAAAGCTAATTCAGCTCTTTGTGGTGGCATCCAGACACAATATAAACTGTAAAGCAGTATGCAGGATAATATGAACTTACAATGTCAGAGAGAATTGGTACTTTTAGAAAGTGACCTGTGTTCATGAAATGTGATATTAGTGAGATGTTTCATTGTTTCTTGAGAAAGTGACTAGTTTTGCCACAAGAGGCTTTTTGTGCTCTGCTGATTGATGTACTTGAAAACCTTGTCCTGTTATTTAGTTTTTTTCATTTTGTTTGTTTTATGTCAGCAGATGTCTTCTCTATTTTTGGAATTGTATAAAGTTCTGTATTAATGTCATTGTTAAGTAATAAACTAGATCATATAACTATTTGAAGAGTTGGTCATTGCAGAGCTACCGGGGTCTTCGATTCTTGCATGCCAACTGTGGCTCTGCCCTGGAATGCTTACTATGTATTTATAGTGCTCAACATTAATATTTTAATAAAAGCATTACATTGAGAAATGTAAATATGCTATTCTATACCAAAGCTGGAACATGATACATCTTTTATAACTAACAAAAAGATATGTTTTCCCTAGCTGGAATATAGTACATCTTCTAAACCTAACTGAAAGATATTATTATTATTATTATTATTTATAAAGCGCCAACAGATTCCGCAACACTGTACAATGGGTGGTCTGACAGACGTAGTTGAAACCAGACAAGATCAACGCACAGGAACAGAGGGGTTGTGGGCCCTGCTCGATGAGCTTACATATTAGAGGTAGTGTGGTATAGTGACACAAAAGGTAAGGGTAGGGTAGAAAAGTAGGTTGCTAAAATAGTATACACTGAGGGCTTGAGGGCTTGTTTGTTTGTTGTTTTGTTTTTTACTAAAAGTTGCAAAGGAATCAGGATGTGGGAAGAGAAAGCTGTTAGCAGTTTAATTGATATGCTTTCCTGAAGAATTGAGTTTTCAATTATTCTTTTCAAGGGCTGTAGACTGGGTGAAAGTCTAACAGAGAAGGGAAGAGAGATCCACAGGAACGGTGCAGCTCTAGATATATATTTTATACCTAACTACAAGAGAGTACAGTACTACACCTAATGAAAATATAGTCCCTTTTCTGTATATCTCTCTGTATGATGTTAAATCTTCTATACCTGACTGAATGATAGTACATATTCCAGTTAATTTGGTGTATCCTTGTGACATTAATGGTTCGGAAACACTGAGGTGTGGACCTTACTTAGTTATCTTGTAATCCGCAGCAAAATCATGGATATTTATTAAAATAAAGAAAACATTTAAAAATAGTATAATAATAATAACAAAAATATTAGCCTCATTTACTTTGGGCAGTTTGATCAATAAGTTTGGGGCTTATTTTCCATCATTCTTTTAATTACTGTTTGGGTCCTCTACTTGTACTGTCTCTTTCTGCTATCTTTATTTACATGTAGCTCCTATGCTAATTTAATTTATGCCCTGACCTCAGGCTTCCATTATATAATTTATATAATCTTTATTAATGGTTTATTTTGTGGAGGTGTTTGTATATGTCAACATGTTTAATATAACATTTTTATTTTTGTAATATTGGGTTTAATAAACATCTGTGGTTTTGGAGCACTCCCTAGCTGTATGAGACTATTTGTTCAATAGACCGTTTATGGGTGCTGATTTCCAATGAACAGCAGGTTTATAGTCAATGATTTAGGACTATATATATATATTGTGACAAAAGTACTCCTCTCCTTTGATACCTTGTTCTGGGATTGGGGTGTTACACACAGTCTTTTCAGGCTTCGGAGACACTTCACACGCTGGATGAGGTAAAATAACTTTCTCTTTTTATTGTGGTTCCAAAATTCAACAATATGCAGTAAGGTATAACAGTGTAACAAAATTAAGAAAAACTAAATCCTTGCTCTTCGGAGCACTAACTTAACAAAATAATAAACTAATTGGGGTGGATGGCTTGTCCATTTCCCTACATAAATAAACACAACTATACACCTTACTGTTTTAAGTTCTCTTAGCTTTCTCTTCCAACTCACAGGAATCAAACATAATCTCCACTCCTCCTTTGGCAATCTTTTCCAAGCAACCTCCAAAATGTGGAGTGGAGCACTGGCCCACCCTACTTCCCAAGTGCTCAACCCCAGGGACCAAACATACACTTACATAAAGTGCAATATTAATTTTAAAACACCTTAACCTGGGGCTAATTACACAAAGTAGGAACCTTGCAGAACCTGGGGAGATATATAGACTCCATCCAGCACAATTCCTTACTTTCGGTCACGATATATATATATGTATATGTGTTGGTTTTTTTTGGTAGAATAGAAAGATTAGTTAGGTTGTTGGGAGTTGAAAACCACCTGCAGCTAGAGTGCATTGGTGACCAGGTGGTCCACAGAAGGATTAACTTCATTGAATTAAAATTGTGATGAACTAACAAGGAGGTTCTAAGGTTTAGGTGAAAATGGATGACCTGGAATATTTCTTTAATTCAACCATTTTTTTTCCAGCCATATAATTTTGCTATTTTGTCAGTTTGTCATAGTTCACTGTTTAGAAAATAAACCCCCTATTCCTTTTTTGGCTGCACGGCAGCTTGTGTAGAGAGACATCATTTGTGATGAATGTGTTCCTTGCATGAGAAAATCATCTTGGTGTTCCAGACTGCAGCTCTGTTATTTTGGCTAGAGTTTTGCTACTATTGAAAGAACACCTGTTTTGTATTTTTTAATGTTTTCCTCTAGCCTTATGTAGAAAATCCTAATTGTGTAATTTTGTTGCTATGGAGATTTGAAACTGTCGTGGTCCCTTAATCAGTCATGATTCTTTAAGGTTCTTTTTTTGTTATAACAACATTACATAAATATTTCGACATTCGAGAAGTTGTTGTCCCTGTCTTATTAAAGCAATACTGATTGGGATTATGCTTGTCGCTAATAATAATCACAGCAGGGACCATTATTAAATGTTCCAAATGGTTTTATACTGCAGTACATATAATTGAATGCATTATATATGACTAGGTCAATGCTGGCTGTGTTTGCTGTAAAATTTACTTTATTTGAGTTAAATTAAAAAAAAACTGACAAAACTGATATTTGATGTGTAATGTCAAACTGCATTATCCAAAATAAGTGTATTTTTTTTCGAATATTACAATGAAACAGGTTTATTTGCTGGTGTTTGAAAATGACCTACAAGAGGTATTCACTACAATGTACGGGGCCTGAGCTTACTGTGCTCCCTCAGTATTTAAAAGCTCAATGGAAAATGCAACAATATCTGTTCTGAACTGATTCATTTTGGGAAAACTGTCAGTTAACTTGGCTCGGGCCATGATTTCCAAATTCATCTCTTGAATTATGTCAGTCAGGAAGCTTATGAGGTCAAATCTGGAGAGATTATGGGCCAAGTTGTGATCAAGAAAGACTAACTGTGAAGTCAACATTGTTTTCAGTTGACTTCCATTCTTCCATGGGCCTAGAATGCCAACAGAGGCAACCTCCTCCCCCCCAGGCTGACAGAGCATGATGGGACATGCAGACAAAGAGGTGATGCCATGAGGGCCCACAGATTGATTCCCCCACTCCTTGTGAGATGCCATGGGGGGCCCCCAAGTCTGCCACTTAGGTTGCCTCCACTCCCTGTGAGATGCTATTGGGGCCCCCAGCTCAGCCAGTAAGGGGCCCCTCCACACCCTGTGAGATGCCATTGGAGCCCCCAGACCGACTAGTAAGGGACCCCTTCACTCCCTGTGAGATGCCATTGAGGCACCCAGCTTGGCCATTAAGGGGCCTCTCCACTCCATATGAGATGCTATGAAGGTACCCACAGCTCGGCCAGCAAGGCTCCCCCAGTCCCGGTGCACATACTGTTGGGGCCCCATATCTCCTTTTTTTTTTACCTGCACCCATACAGTGCCAGCTC